ACTATAAATCATTTTTTAGACAATGAGATTTGCCTAATTTTTGTGACTGGTACTTAGTTTTTCTTCAGAGATTTTTCTTTCTTCTGGTTCTTGATCTGTTATTGCTTCTACTAACACATTCATCAACAGCAATAATTTTATTTTTATTTTTGTGGTACTGAGGATTGAACCCAGGGGTGCTTTACCACTGTGACACATTCCTAGCCCTTCTTATTTTTTTAATATTTATTTTTTAGTTGTAGTTGGACACAACACCTTTATTTCACTTGTTTATTTTTGTATGTGGTGCTGAGGATAGAACCCAGGGTCTCACACATGAGAGGTGAGCACTCTACCACTGAGCCACAACCCCAGGCCCCTTCTTATTTTTTATTTTCAAATAGGGTCTCACTCAATTGCTCAGGGTGACCTAAAACTAGGGATCTTCCAAGTTGCTGCGATTACAGACATGTACCACAGTATCTGACAATATTTTTTTAATTTATTTTCTGGTGCTGGGGGTCAAACATAGACCTTGCACATGCTAGGCAAGTAATCTATCACTGAGCTACATTCATAGGCCTTATTAATTAATTAATTAATTAATTAATTTTGGGGTCCTGGGCATTGAACTCAGGAGCACTCAACCACATCCCCAGCTCTATTTTTTTTTTTTTTTTTTTAATTTAGAGACAGGGTATCACTGAGTTGCTTAGTGCTTCGAGATTGCTGAGGCTGGCTTTGATCTCATGATCCTCCTGCCTCAGCCTCTGGAGCTGCTGGGATTACAGGCGTTTGCCACCGTGCCTGGCTAAACTTTTTAATTTTGAGATAGTATCTCCTTAAATTGTCCAGGCTAGCCTGGAACTTGCAATCCTCCTGCCTCAGCCTACTGAGTAGCTAGGACTATAGTCATTTGTCACCACACCCAGTCCCTAGAGCAATCATTTAAAAAGAATAAAGGATTTCCTATCTAGTTACTGGCTAGAAACATTTTAATTCCTACCAAATTCTTCAGAAACCCCCAAATTCTCCCTTGTAGTAAAAAATCTAATCTAGGGGCTGGGGTTGTGGCTTAGCGGTAGAGCACTCGCCTAGCACGTGCAAGATGCTGGGTTTGATCCTCAGCACCACAAAAAAAAAAAATAAAATAAAATAAAATAAAGATATTGTGTCCAACTACAACTAAAAAAAAAATTTAAAAAATCTAATCTAATAGTCCTCCTCAAAAGATTACAAAGAAAAAGTAAATTCTGGTTAGGTAAAAATTAGGGAGTTAAAGTTTCATTACTACTGAAAGAACTTTTACTAATTTTCTACCTTAGGTAAATTTTTTCTCAAAGAGATATATATTTTACCAACCAGCGGTATCAAAATTACCTGGAGGGCTTGTCCAAATGCAGATTAAAGGGTCCCAATTTAAGGAATCAGAAAGTCTAAGGTTAAGGCCCAGTAAGCTGCCTTAGGTCACTTGCATATCCACTGAAGTTTGTCCTAAAGAACAGCCAAATCCTTAATTTTTAAGAATTTCTAGTATTTTYTCTCCTTAATATACCAAAAAAAAAAAAATTACAAGCATTGAGAGTACAGGTCAAATCTTGTCATAGAATATGTATTCTATTGTAACCCAGTTTATGAACATTTAATAGCTTCTCTGTGGGACAGTTAAACTGTAGTAATTACCTCATGGTTCTGTAATCTGTGCGTCTCCTCCTACATGACATTTGCACCAACTAAGACTATGACTTATTTTCTGACAGGATAAAAGAATGACCAGCCTTAGGTGGTCTGATGCTCCTTCATGTTACTTTTCTTTGTTGTTGTAATAGTTAAAAACACTTATGAAATTTTATAGTCTATGGTAAGAAGAAAAACATTTTACAAAAGTCACTAAAACCAAGTCACTTTAATCACTTATCTCTTTATGGACTATTGCTTTTTTAAATAAAACTGGGACTGGAGGCATAGCTCAGTGGTAGAGCACTGGTCTAGCATATGAGAGGCCCTAAATAAATAAATCAGGAAGGATCTGGGATTCATGGCACTTGTCTTCAAACTGCCTTTGAATTATATTAATATGAACAAATTATACAATGCCATATTTTTGTAATGGGTATAATCACCCACTTGTAATAAGGATAATACATTCCAAAGTTTCTAGAAGATGGATGAGATCAGACTTATAAAATGTTACAGGTCCTTCAGTGAGGGATGCTGTAAGAARTGAAAATTATTACTATGCCTTTTATAGGCCTTTAATGGGTTATCAACCTTTCATTGATGAATTGGACTCTTGAAATATTTCAATTCTTGCTTTTTCAGGCTTCCTGAAGAGACATAATCTGCTCTTAAATTTTCCTGAAGTATTTTTTTGAACTTTAAAATTTGATTTAAAAAGAAACAAGCAACATTATCTTCCTCCCAAACATACATGTGTTCTCTCTCCTCTCCCTCCTCTCTCTCTCTCTCTCTCCAGTGTACATCTTTATCTTCACTTTTTATTGATTAGATTGATTGAACTTACTAAACCATTTGGGTCATCAAAGCCTCAAGTGCTTTGGGTTAGCTAAAGTGTCACAAAGTCCACTAACTCATTAGCAGTAAACTCTAATGTAGGAAAGTGATCAGAAATAAATTATTTACTTGATGTCATTCTTGGTTGAGAAATCATTCTGCTCATCTATAGTTTCAGTTGCTATTATGCACAAACGGCTCTTTTCAAATTTTGCACATTCAAAATGAAGGAATTTTGAGATTCTAAATAGCCATAAAGCAAAGCCAAAACCTACCTCTGTATTACAGAATTCAAAATTCTTTTCTAATGAGGAATTCCTAATTGGCTCAAGAGGATGTTCGAAAATTCTTCTAATACTTTCAACTGCAGAGTGGGGAAAAATAATTTAAAATGTCATTGGATCTTCTTGTTTGAGGTTGATTGATATATACTGCAGTCTTATATTTAACGTTTATTTTATAAACAGAAAACAGGTAATTTTTATGTAAAAGAAGAAAAGACTGGAAAAACAACCAGAATGTAGTATAATTGACAAACAGGTAGAGGGGGTTGACAGATACAAATAAAAATAAACAATGCATTTACATAATGATATCTGAGGCTGCTTATCTTGGACAGTAGGTTCATATGAAGAAAAAGCTTCTGGAACTAAGTAAATGACAAATCATATTGAGAAATTCCTCACAGAGTTACTTGAAAGAAAACTGTTTATATACATCTTTACAGTGACTGCAAAGAGATCTGGGGATAGTTCAGTTGCTTGGGTTTGGTTGACTTCACTTCTTGAACAAATTTGAGAATTAAACATTCACAAATGTTCCTAATATTTTCTGAACAAGGAAGTGGGATGTTAGCACTTTTTTTTTTCAGTGCAGCATCTACCATTATACCATCTGTCGGTTAACCTTAAGCCTTATAGAAGAATCAGTGTATTCTGATTTGAGAGTTTCTCCCACATGGTAAAAATAAAATGTGAAATTTCAGTAACTGGCATGAAAAATTTTAGTAGGAATTCAGGAAGTTTTCAGAAACTAGAGCTTTTACATAATATGGAAGTTTTAATGTTTTGAAAGTTTGGTAAATTATGTAGTGTACAAGGGTAAAGTCTAAATTATCCACTCTGAAGGGTAACCCTATAGCCCACATGTCTGAATTCATGTATACAGATGGATAGATACACTTCATTTCTCCTGGGAAGTTGGGTTCCCAAAAGCTATCACTCAGAATGAACAGTTTTATGATTGTATGAAAAGAAAAGGAAAGATGACAGAGTTGCTATAAAAAAATGAAAGAATTTTTGGAGGATTAACAGCTGAAAACATTACAATTTAAATGAAGATGTAAAATGAAAGTCAACTTGAAATTGCAAATTTTAAAAAGGTGGGGGAGAAATAAGGAGAAAAAAACTTGTGCAGAGGGTTTGAAGCATATGGACACCCACCCAGTTAGCAATGAGGGCAAAGGGAGCCCCAGACTTTAGCTTATTAAAGATGACCTTTCCCCTCTCTAAAATTTCAAAGCTGACGTTTCAAGTGCTGAGCAGACTGTGTGCCATATGTAACATGACCTCAGCTCCACTCTGCCTGAGCACTGATGGCATCACTAATGAGAGGTGAAAGGTCCTTTTTCTTGCAGCTTTTTCAGAAAGCCACCAACTCTTGCCTGTGAAGTAAGGCTCCTCCCTCCTGCTCCCTTGATTTCAATAGAATTGCAGTTAATACACAGCCTCAAAACACTTTTATTATAGTCGATTTGCTTATAGCCACATCCAAATGGCAGGATGTACAATCAAATGCAGAAGAAAATATTTATTTTGACTCAGAAGGCAAAGGGATTAAGAGAACTTTGTATTAACCTTGCCTTTCATCTGTGTTTTAAAGGGAAATTCTCCAGAGGCGTCCATTGAAGTTCTATTTTTTAATAAAGAGTATCAAAGACTTAGGAGACCAGGTGTGTGTTCATCTGAGGGGAGGAGGAAAGGGAAAGTTATATTAGGTGGTGGTAGTGGGAGAAGAGGCAGTTTTCACAAAGACTCTCAGAGACTGTAAAAAGATGTATGTGCTGGAATCTGTTACAGGCATTGCTAACAGTCGGTCCTCTACCCTCCCCCCACTTTTCCCTGCTGCTTGGAAACAAAATAGTTTTTTTTTTTTTTTTCTCCGAGCAGGTTGTTATCATATACATGGCATGGTCAATTTCCGTTTGCCAAGAAAATATTTAGTCTGATCAAAGAAATTAGAAAATCGGATGAATAGAAACAGACGTTCCCACAAGAGAAGCGTTTCTCGATGTGAAGAGTCACCGGGTGGCAGCCCACCCAGTTACTCCTAGGAAATAGCTCTCCTGCCAAGGGCGGAACTACAAGGCCACCTGGATTCCACTGGAGGGGATTCGAAAGAGTCACGACTCCCCAGGAAATTCAAATGGAGATCGGAGCTTGAGATGCTCTGGTGGAGAGCATGGAAGATGATCAGTTCTAGTATCTATGCACGAAGCAAGAGGACATCTAACGTCCCTTAATCCAGAGAGACGTTTTAAAATAGAAGATAAGCGAGTCTGGAGTCCTTATATTTTGCATTGCATGGTTTATTGTGCTCGTGGAAAGACAAGAACACACTSTATTTGGTAGCTGGAAGAGGAGAAATAAGTGCTTTTGGAATGGAAGGATAGCAATTTCCCTCAAATTAATATAAACAAAGTTCTTGTTTTGTAGATTTGGGTGGAAGAATGGTTGGTAGTAGTTGTCTTTGGGGCTTTGCGCCCAGGTCAACTGGTGACCATAAAAGAAGTTTCCATTTCTTCGTTGTTTCTGGGCCAGGAGGGACCAAACCAGGTGAGACCACTTGCTACAGCGCTTCGACCCAAAAGATTGGCTGGCGACGCGATTTCCTTCCTCAGGTCCCACCACCTAAAGCAGACTCCGCTTGGAGGAAGGGTGTGTGTGTGCAGATTCCCCCGCTCGCCTAGGGCAAATTGGGGCACCTCACTCGCCGGCGCAGTGTCTCGCGCTTAACCCGGCGCCTCCAGTGTTTGGAGGGAAAAGGCGAGGGAGAGAAATCCCTGACGGAAGATGACTGTGGGGAATGCCAAAGGGGCTAGAGAAGAATCCCTTCCCACCAGTCCCGCCTGGGGCTACTGGCGAGGCCGCGTTGGGCCGAGGGGTCTCCCAGCTGGAGACTGAGAATCCAGTCAGCCACCCCAACCCCCTTTCCTCTGGCCCGCTCTCCTCACCCTACGGGCTCAGCCAGGCAGATTTTCTTTTTTGTTTCGGTTCCTGCTGGCTAGGCGAGGACTCCTTTGCCAGGAAGACAGCGCCCTCTCTCTCCACCCGCTGCGCCCGCTGCGCCCGCTGCGGACCTGCGCCCCCTGCCTGCTCCGCTGACCTCCCCACGCCTCCTTCTCGTCCCCGCCCTCCTACTGTCCATCCCCTCCTTCCTCAATCTCCAGCTCGGAACTACCCCGCAAACCGCCGGGGAGAATAACTCCAGAGAGCGGTGGGCTTGAGTCCCGGCCCCTAGGCCTGAGCGGCAGGAACAAGCGACCCCTGGCTGCACGACGGGGCGGAGCCGTCCTGGCGCTGCCACCGCGCCTTAGAGCTCTCGCGCGGCCACGGGAAAGAGTTTCTGGCACTGACTGCAAGACTGGGGTGAGGCCGCGCTCCCTGAGTCTGGGCGCGGCAGGCCGACGGGCGGGGCCAAGAGCACGCGGCGCGACAGACCCTTTACAGCGCCACACGCACCTGGCGGAGCAGCTTATCCGGGACTCCAGAATGGGCCCACGAAACGTGGACCCGGCATGCCCGAGAAGTAATGGGCGCGGGGAGGGGGGTGGCGGATGAACTTGAGTAGAGGTAAGGAAAAAAATCTTACTGTCTTCCAAGTCCTAAAAGCCTCCCTCTCGGWCCGCCCGCTTCCTGGCAGCCTCACCCGGCTAGCTTCCAGGAGTACTTTGCCAAGCACTTCAGCGGTGTTGGAAACCTTGTTGCAAAGTCGAAACCCAGGCGAGTGGGCGAGACGTGCGGAGAGGTATGGGTAATTGGGCACCTTCCCAGACTCCTCTACCCAGTATTTCTTTTCCCCTTGCTTAGATAACTGATGCTTGATGACAAGTGCCTTCGCTGCCCATTCCTGAACAGAGGTGGTCGAGCTCTGTTCGCGAAAAACTGGATCCTTTAGAACCCAAAGCAAAAACTGATTTCTCACGATGTGGCTAGGCAGCAACAAAGGTACTAGCCTGAAGTGCTCCCAGTCCCTGGAACTACTCCCCGCGCCCGGGAGCCAAAAGGCGAGTTCGCCTCGAGGTTACCCCGCTCAGAACGCAGGCGGCTCCCAGATATGCACTAATTGAGTCACAAACCACTCGCCATCCCTAACCAAACGATTCATCTCTGCAGCTCAGCCCCCAATTTGTCCGCAGCACTTTCTTCTGCAATTCAGAAGCATTATCTTGTTTTTAAAAAGTATCGCGGCAGAGACGTGGCAATTATCCTGGGCTCGGGTTACAATAAATGGTTTTAGGTTGAGAAATGTAAGACTACAAATGCTGCAAGCGTGCTGATCGCCTCGCTGCCCAGTCTGGACTCGGGTAAGAAGACGAATGAGGAGCTTTTGGCTGCGGCGAGGGAAATTCTGAACAAGCTCCCACTGTTATTCTCCTCTCCTGACGAGGAAGAAAGTAGTGTTGGACATTTGTCCCTTTGTAAAGTTCTCCCAGTCACACCTCTGACCTTGGAGGAAGAAAGGATTAATTATATCCTGACAAGGCCAGGCCAAGCTTCTGGTCTGAGTCTGGGTTTTGGATCAGGTCTAGGTTGGGAACTTCAGAAACGGCAGGAATGAGGAACGGAACCGAGGTCAAAGGTCAGCGGGAGAGTTGGGGAAGAATCCAGTTTCTCTTCTGGACAACTACACTAAAATTGGGGAGGAGGTAGGCACGGGGGGGGGGAGGGGACAATAACAAACTGGAAGAGGAGCGGGCTCCTGAACAAGAGGCAGGCCTGGCTTGGGAAGGCAAGGTGAGACCCTCTGAGAACTGGGAGGCCCAGGGACCAGGCCTCTCCACATCAGGGGGAGAAAAATACATCATTTTAGTCCGGCAGGGTGAATATGGGCCTGGAAAAGAATACAAGAAGCATCCGGGTGCCGTCGCTCTGCTAGTAGACGCCTGCTCACCCCAGCAGCCCAGTCGGCCGGCTGTGGCAGCCACACTGTGCGCGTGTCTTTCTCCGGCTCAAACCAGCCCTCACATCTTGAAGTAATCAGCAGCCGAGAAGGGACTCGTCCCCCTGGCATCTCAGGTTAAAGAAGGAGGTCCAGGAAAATGTGGTAGAGCCATTACAAGAAATCCGAGCCGCAGTCATCAGGGACTCCAATTGCCATCGCATTAGGATTGATTAGAGACCAGCAGTACCGTAATGACCCGGAAAGAGGGGCAGCCGGGGATTATTAATATCAGAATGTCGGGCGAGGGGAGAGCAAACTGGGGAGGGAGAAGTCTTAAGTTACTAGGATTTATATATAAGTGCAGGCTTACCTGAGGAAACCAGATAGTCAGTGAATCACGCAAACAATAAATCTAATTGCATCTAAAATTTCACGAAGTCTGATTATTATTTTTTTTTGGAGGGAGTAAAGCCATTCTGAAAACCAGGCCAACATAGTTTTTATATAAACACATAGTTTTATAAGTTTATTATAAGGATCCAAGTGAAGATATGGGGARGGTCACTGGATGTCTGCTTTCCTTACAACTGAAACTCCAACGTTCCTGATTTTTCTCTCCTGGGAGTGCATTTGGATCTCTTCTCCAGGATGGAGGCAATGAAGTGTACATTTCTTTTTTTAGAGTCTGCAGAGGAGTAATAAACCAACTTTTAATTGAAGCAGTGATACCTGGGTAGTGGTTTTTGTTTTGTTCTAGATATGAATGATCAGGATCCCAAAGAGATGTGGAGAAGAGAGTAGTTTGTCTCCTTCCTTGGACTTTGAGCCAAAACAAATCAGCCCCTGATGGTCTGGGCTGAAATGCAGCTCACTGGATAATTAACTCCATCTTTCCAGTCCACCCTAACTGTTTATTTAGTGTCACCCTGCATTACCATCACTAGCACTTTCCTCTGAACAGGAGGAACTGCAGGCTTTCACCTCCCAAAAGGAAATTCTTCTTAGCTTAGACAGATGTGGTATTCAGGATGTACATTAGTTGAAGGGGGTAAAAAAGTTGATTGGAAATTCAATGGAAGATAAGCACTCTCAGAGAGTTTCATTTTGTAAACTTGCCTAAGGCGATATTTAAAGATAGAAGGGGACCGGTATGTTTTAAATTCTTAAGAACTGATTCTTGTAGCATCATCGCTCCACTTTCCAAAAGGTGCTTGCTTGTCATCTGATGTTGGGTGGGGTTTTCTGGCTTAAATCTGGCCATTGGCAAATCCCTGAGCCTGAGACTTTTTAGAACCCCGCWGAAGTCAGCCTTTTCTCCTCAAGGGAAAGCCTACCTTCTTCTGTTGTCCCCAAGCCCCACCCCCACACCTGTAGCCGGAGCCACCCACTCAACGTGAAAGGTCCCCACTGAGCCTGATGCGTTCGCTGGAGTCTTTTGGCTCTGCGCTGCCTCTGTGAGCGACAAAAGCAGCTTTGCCTGTGAAACTTCACTGCGCCTAGTCCCGGACTAGAAGAAATAGGCACCCAAAACCACAGGGAGTGAAAGGGGAGGAGAGGGGAAGGAGGGGTAGAGGAGGGGAAGAGAAGGCGGGGGAAAAGAAAGGAGGGAAAGAAGAGGGAGAGGGAAGGAGGGAGAGAGAGAGGAAGAGAATAGGGGGAAGGGGAGTAGGAGGGAAGGGGAGAGGAAGAGAGTAGAAGAGGAGGAATAAAATGAGAAAGAGGGAGAGAGGAACAATGAATGAAAGAATGAGATACTGGTTCGTATACAGATAGAACACACGGGTTTCCTCTTTAAGCCAGAGGACAGAAAGAATGAGATAGACACACAGGGAGACAGAGTATAAACACTTCCAAACAAGAAGCTGTGTTCTCTGTGTATTTGTGTGTGTCGAGGTTGGGCAAGAGAAGACAGGGGTGTCTGTGTGCGTGAGCTCAGATCKAATGGGAACAGAGCTGGGGTCTATGTGTTTAGAGGTGTTATGCTCCTGGTTTCTGTGTCCGTCTGTCTCCAGTTCCCCAACCTCGGAACAATCTGGAGAGGGCGTTTTCAGAAGCTGTACTGACAGGCAGGGCTCCCAGCTGGCTCTGTTTGTCCAGGTGTGGGAGGGGGCAGCGSTCTGCCAGCATTTTGGGCCAGCCCAGCATTTTCGCACCAAGGAAGCAGGACCTCTGCTCAAGCGCTTCCCGCTTCCAGGAGTAAACTCCCTCCCTCCCTCCATACATACATAAATACATTAGGGGAACAGACAAATCCTCATTGTTCTGAAATAAGCCGAGGAGGCCGGCCAGCTCTCCTCAGCCTGGCAGAGTGAGGTTGGGAGGGATGGAAGGAGGGAGGGAGGCAGGGGCCGCGCGGATCCGGTGTCACGTTGCAGATTCCCACTAAAGATAACGAAACGTGATCTATTTTTCAGAACAGCAAGTGGATGGGAAAGAACCTTGACAACACAAAACTCATTTACTAATGGACTGGTTTTGAGTTTCTCTTCTCTGAGTCCGCAAATCGCCCAGCCTGAGCCCTCGGCTTATTCAGATCTCGCGGGGAGCGGAGGCCCGCAGAAGGCAGGTGGACAGCTGCTCCCGCTCGGCGCGGGCCATCTGAGCTCGGGTTCCCAAGGGTCGAGGGCATCCGGAATTTCGGACTAAGCAGAGGAAAAAGATGAATGTTGTTACTTCAGYTCGGACTTGGGGAGTCTCCTCACTGCCCCAGGGCGATGTCGCTAATTTACTGGAGAAACACCTCTCGAAGCCCTTCCCTTCCAGGTATCTGTAGGTAGAGTAGGATCCGTGCCTTGGTTCTAGATGGCGAAGGAATTCCAAGTAAGCGGGCTGGAAACCCTAAAGCATCTTGCTTCAAACCAGAAGAGAAAAAGTACGTCCCAACTATAGGGTTTTGAACCAAGGCCTTATGCCAACCCAGCTAAGAAACCCCAGCAGCTTTTAATGTTTTCGCATTGACTTTTTGGTCCACCCGCTCCGTGCACCGGACCATTACCGGCACAGCAGAGGCACACAGGAGCCGAAACCCGACAACGGGTGCGGATCACCAGCCGTGTTACCCTTAGGAGCCCAGATAAGGCTAGGGCAGCAGCAGCAGGCTAGCAGCAGTTGCTCCGTTCCCTTTAAATCTCCTACGCATCTCTGTTTTTCATGCGATTTGCATTGACAGCAAAGGTTTTATGTTACAGAACAACTCAAACCTTTCTGTGTGCTATTTAAAATGGATCATTTGGTTTATGTGGTTTGTAAATTCATGTCATTTTACCTCTTTTAGTGGTTTTCAGTGAAAGGCTCCATTTTGGGAAACCTTATATATCCGAGCCAATAATTAACATTTATAACAATTGGTTCCTTTTAACCAAGGGATCGAAATAGCAGGTAGGCTCCTTGGTACAAAGCGCATAACTTTTTCTTTATAGTTATGCGATCTACTGGATTAAACCGGAGGGTAAAGACTGGCGRATCCGAGCACCAGGCCTCTGAGGACAAGCACCTCTCTCAGCGCCTGCAATCACAGCACCCACACAGTCATCTTCCCAGTTGTCATTAACATCTGGGTTAGTACATCCCGGTTCCTTTTGAAGACAGATGAAAAGAAGTGGGCAGGGAGGTCTGGAAAACGCCGAAAAAAGGTGGTCCTTCTTGGTGTCTAATTGCCATCTCTCTGCTCTCTTGTGATCCTTGTAAATTTATGCTTGCCCTTATGCGTTTAAGCTATGCCTTATATCCTTAGAGAAAACTCAATTGCAAAGCACACCCTGTACTCAACATACCCTTTGTCTTTTAAGAGATGTTACTGTGCCTACCGACACCCTCACCCCTCGTTTTAATTGTGCACATTTGCTCCTGACTTTAAGGTACTGATTTTTAAAACCCGTTTAAGCCCCCATTCCAGTCCTCACACAGCTGCCATGTCAATGAGGGCGGTTCCAAGCGGAGGCATTCCTTTTGGCAGGACACTGCAGCTCCTTAAGACTTCATCTGAAACGTCATGAGCACTAAAATAAGACAGTGAGGGAAAATTACCAGACACATGGCCTTGGACTCAACAGTGTTAGTTAAGAAAGTAAGTCATTGGGCGCACAATGTGGTAGGGGGTCTTTTGATATAATACAGACCCATGAAGTGCATTTTAAGAATAAGCCCAAATTTAATGAAATATCAGCATCTGTTTCAAAGGTGCATGGGACACATAGTTTCAAGGATGCAGAAAGCATTGTGTGGGAGCCCAACAGAGAAGCAGCTTCCTGTCTCCTGAGAGGTAACCCTGGGATGGGAACTCTTTATGAGTTTAAAATGTTATCTTGCAAGGGGCACTGGACTAGGTACGTTATTTTAAAACCATATAAATAATACACTGGACACCCACACGTTTCTCCTTCTCCCACTTACATCTCAATATGTAAAAGCTTCTGTGGTGCTGTGCTCTTTAGCTGATAGAATCAAAACATGTTTAAAGAGGACAACCAAGTTTAAAGAGCCTAAAGTTTATTCTTCACCATTCACTAAGAGGGCGMATTGAAATCAAAAGCATTTTTGAAGTGTACTTAAAATTCTGTTTTGAACTTATCTAATCAGAGATAAGTGTAGTCATAAAGTCACTCTCCTTCCACCTTTTGGCTTTCCTTATCTCTACACATTGTTCTTATCTCCTGCCAGTCTCAGCTACTGACAATAGATTATCTTTGTTTATAGAGGCTAATTGTCTTCAAAATCATTTTAATAATTGCTTCGGAACAAGGTGTGCAAATGAGGCTTAAGATAATTACAGCTTCATTTGTTTGTGCAGTTTTGCTAAGTATTCTCCACACATAAACAAAATAGCAGATGATGGGACTTAAATTACAGGACCTCTCTCATTCTCTGGCAGCAAAATAGGCAAGCATTGCAATATACGGGTGCGCGTGTGCACACACACATACACACACACACACACACACACACACACACCTCTTTATTTAATCTTCTTGGAGCCACTGTCCTTCTAGTTTTGAGGGCAGTGTCCCTCTCAGAGCAGGGCAAGGATTATGTTACAACCGGAGGTTACTGGAGCTGGGCTCAGTTTTATTTAATTTACACCCCATCCAGCACCTTCGGAAGGAGGTTCCCTAAGCATTTTTGCTAATGACAAGTAAAGCTTCTCGGCATTTCCTAGCAGCAGAGGTGGCACTGGAAAACGCAACCTTGCGGATGGGGAAACTGAGTCTAGGAGGCTGTCAATTTAAGCCAAATTGAAAGGTCAAGATACCAAAACGCAAATGAATCTTTGTGTCGCTATATTCTCAGCAACTATGCTCTAAACAGCTTTTCGCCTGATTCTAAATCGTGGCGGCCCTTTGAGAATCAGGGAGATGTTATCCAGCTCAGAGTACTTGTGCCCTTTGGAGGGTGCTGAAGGTTGGGGGCTGGGAGGAAATTAGATTTGGCTCTTGGAGCTGAAGCCAACCCAGAGAGAAGCCACTCTGCCAGCGCCTGCAACCCAGAGCCCTGGTCTGCTTTTGTATTATTTATCGCGTTCCATAAGCTATTCATCAATCCATTATTTATTCATTCCTACATTAAGGTAATTAAATATGAGCTCACCGGGAAAGGGCAAGTCTGAAAGAGACAGAGATGAGAGTGCCGAGGGAGAGGAGAGGAAATAGAATATCTGGAGTCGTTGATTTGTGTAGAAAGATGCGCGTGGCTCCCCTTAGTTGACACTGGAGAGGGGGGCCCCCGCGTTGCAGGGTCCGGACTCTCTCATCCCCCACTTCCTCCACCCCCCCCCCCTCGCACCTCGGCTCTCTCCTCCCGACCCCACCTCGCTTCCCACCTCTCCCTAGCCCTTCTCCACCCACTATTCCCTACCCCCAGCTCCGCAGCCTCGCCCTCCCCGCGCTGGGCGGCGGGGCCTCGCTGCCCAGCCGGGCGGCGCGCAGTCTGGCCAGCCTCGGATAGGCGCCGCCCGCAGCCAATCAGCGTGCCGAGGACGCTGCGCGCTTTAAGGCTGCTGCAAGGAGAACAGAAACCAAGTTCCCGGCTACTAGCAGCATCCACCCGGCGGCAGGCCGGAGCCAGCGAGGCCCGAAAAGGCTGTGGAGTGCGCGGGTCGCTCCGTGTCCAGCGCACCCTACCCCCACTTTTCCTTCTCCTCTTCTTTGGCAGCCCAGCCCAAGTTCCAACTCGCTGTTTCGACTACGCAAAGCCTAGGGAGGGGGTTAGGAGCAGCCGCGCCCCCCTCCCTGAGGCCGCCGCCCCCCGCTTTTTCGGCTGTGCTCCCTGCAGCGTGCTCCTGGGCGGTGCGCCTCGGCAGGCCCCAGTCATGTCGATGCTGCCGTCGTTTGGTTTTACGCAGGAGCAAGTGGCGTGCGTGTGCGAGGTTCTGCAGCAAGGCGGGAACCTGGAGCGCCTGGGCAGGTTCTTGTGGTCACTGCCTGCCTGCGACCACCTGCACAAGAACGAGAGCGTGCTCAAGGCCAAGGCTGTAGTCGCCTTCCACCGCGGCAACTTCCGTGAGCTCTACAAGATCCTGGAGAGCCACCAGTTCTCGCCTCACAACCACCCCAAACTGCAGCAACTGTGGCTGAAAGCGCACTATGTGGAGGCCGAGAAGCTTCGCGGCCGACCCCTGGGCGCCGTGGGCAAATACCGGGTGCGCCGAAAATTTCCACTGCCGCGCACCATCTGGGACGGCGAAGAGACCAGCTACTGCTTCAAGGAGAAGTCTCGGGGAGTGCTTCGGGAGTGGTATGCGCACAACCCCTACCCCTCGCCTCGAGAGAAGCGGGAGCTGGCCGAGGCCACGGGCCTCACCACCACCCAGGTCAGCAATTGGTTTAAGAACCGGAGGCAAAGAGACCGGGCCGCCGAGGCCAAGGAAAGGTACGCTGTGTGCTTCCCGAGGCTCGCGCGACCCCGGGCGGTCTTTCTTACCCCTCCGCCCCTTTCCGCCCCCGCAGGCAGCTGCCACCTAGCTCTCCCCACTGCTCCGAGCCCATCCGCCGGGCGGCGCCCGGGCCTCCGCGCCACAGCAGAGAAAGTTCATGAACCCTGAGGTTGTCTGCTAGGGATGGGGGCCTCGTTTGCTTTGAGCGCCGCGCGTGGGTTTCTTTGGGGTGTGAGTGTCGGGAAATATTGGCGCTAGATTTGTTTTTCCTGCCTCCTTGGCTGGCTGCGGCGAGGAGTGGGGGGTGGAGAGAGTTTTTAGATCAGCGGGAAGGGAAGTTGCTCATTGGTATCGCGAGGAAAGCGGTTCGGTGGGGGCTGAGGGTCACGAACCTCTCTCCTTTTGCTCTCGGGTGAAGCTGGCCCTGAGACTTCTGCTCTGCCCCCACTAGCGCGCGGTTCTTTACTCGCTGTTTCCTGGTAGTCTTTTGGCTGAGAGGTCGCATGTTTCATTCCGCATTGACAGGACAAAAGAATCGAAAAGAAAYACACCGAAAGGAGAGCTTTTGGGAGAGTTGTCTCTTCCTTTACTCCCCGGCGCCCCAATCCCAGAAAGGACTGCTGCTCGCGGTGCTTTCTCGCGTACGGCGGGCACCGCAGCCCGTCCTTTTGGCTGTCCGCACCGCCGCCCTGGGCGAGGAAAGGGGCTCCTTGTCGCTGACTTCTCGCCCTGGAGCTCAGAAGGCAGTATTTTTTTTTTTTTTAACCCGTCTCTGACTCCTCTTCCTCGCGCCAACACCCTCGGCCACCTGGCTAGCCTCCATCCGTTCGCTGTAGAGTTTCTGACAGATTCGGAAGAGCGCCGGGGAGGCGACGGTGGCGGGAGAGAGCGCTCCGCGAAGCCAAGGAGTTTTGGAGAGACCTGAGCGCAGGGGCCGGCTAGATTTCTTTTGTTCGCCTGCTCCTCCTGCGGTTTGAAGATCTCGCTTCCTCCTTCCCCTCTGTTTGCAAAACCGTAGAACCTGGATAAATTCTGCTGAAATGGTCTCTCCAGGAGAGAAGGGGAAAGAAAGGGGATGGCAGGCGGGCGTTAGGCGTGGGGAAGACCGCGAGCGCTCGAAAGGCGGAAGCGGCGAAATTTTGAAGTTAACCAGCATCAAGTACCGGGACTGACACTCCGGCGCGTGGTGCCGGGTGCCGGCTCGAAGTCCGCGGGGCGGGCGACTCCCCTTTCGCGAAAGGGAGGTTTGGAGTGGGTGCTTGTGGGGAGTTTGCGAAGGGGGCTGTGAAGGGCTTAGGAGTGAGCAAGTAACTCGGGAACAGGCATCGTAAGGTTCCAGTTAGCCTTTAGTTACAAAACGCCCGTCCTATAAGCCAGGCCCGAGGGCCCGCTCTCTGATGAAATCGGAGAGACTGGCTGAGCTCCCTGTGTTTACTCAGGTCACTGGGCCGCTCTGGACACCACTTCCCATGACCTGTCCTGTGTCTCCGAAACCACAATCTCTGGGCAGRGGCAGGGAGACTCGATGTTTAATTCTTTCTTTAGAAAGAAACAGGCAATTGACTTGATTCATCCCAAACCTGATCATTTCTTTTATCACCAACAACCATTTGCTGGAAGATTTTCAAACTTACTTTGAAATATGGTGCTAATTGATAGGTATTTAAACATTACTGCTTGAACAAAATTAAGAACACATTTTTTGTTTGTTTCAAATAAACACTAAGTATTTGACTCTCCGAAATCTGGAAGAGAAGGGGATCTAGATCCCAGCGTCAGAATCTCCTTTAGCTCCCCATTTCTCCAATCTCTTCTGCCTCCTCACTTCCCCCAGGACCCTTAGGGATGGGTAAGAAGGCAAAGCTCCTCCTTTTGGGTTGGTGACAGATTGTACAATGACTCTTTCCTCCTTTTAGCTCCCCTCCCCTCTCCTCACACTTTTTTTTTTTTTTTTTAACCATATGGTGTTGTCCTCTATTTCTTAGGGAGAACACCGAAAACAATAACTCCTCCTCCAACAAGCAGAATCAACTCTCTCCTCTGGAAGGGGGCAAGCCGCTCATGTCCAGCTCAGAAGAGGAATTCTCACCTCCCCAAAGTCCAGACCAGAACTCGGTCCTTCTGCTGCAGGGCAATATGGGCCACGCCAGGAGCTCAAACTATTCTCTCCCAGGCCTCACGGCCTCTCAGCCCAGCCATGGCCTGCAGGCCCATCAGCATCAGCTCCAGGACTCTCTGCTCGGCCCCCTTACCTCCAGTCTGGTGGACTTGGGGTCCTAAGTGGGATGGGATTGGGGCCTCAAAGGGATGGCTGGAGCAGCAACCAATTGCAGCAACTAGGGACACTTGTAAATAGAAATCAGGAASATTTTTGCAGCTTGTTTCTGGGATTCTTTGCGCATAAAGGAATGGTGGACGTTCACAATGTCTTTTTAAAAATCAAAACCAACATCCATCTCAAACAGCCTCCCTCTTCTCTCTCTTTCCCCTGGTGCATTTCCCCTCCCAGTGCAGAATCAGGAAAAAAAAACCCAAACAAACAAAAGCACCCAGTCTTGGATTTGGAAACCTATGCACCCACTTCAATAGACTTGCTTTTTGTTTTTCCTTTTCTAATTAATGGTAATTATAAATCAACTGGATTTTAAGTATTTTCTTTTAATTTATTTATGGAGAAATTTGAGGGGAAGAGGAAAAGAAAAAAGAAAAAGAGAAAAGGAGAGAGAGAGAGATAGAGAGAAACAGAGATCAAAATAGTAGTGAAAATAACAGCCTCCAGCCTGGGAGGAACTGGTTGCATTCTTAAGGTGAATAGGAAAAAATAAAATCTTATAATTTTTTGATGGGAAAATTAAGTTTACATTTTTCATATTTGGTGTTAAATAATTTTATGTAGAGTAAAATAAAAAGAACAGTATTAGGGAGAAAACAAGTGCCTAAATGTCTTAATGCTCTCTATGTGAAGCAGTTAGAAATAGAAGTGACCATTAGTAATATAACTATTTTTGTCAAATTTAGTAGGGTTTTTTGGTTGTTGTTTGTTTTCTTGGGTTTTTTTTTTTTAATGACAAACTAAAAATGTACCAATGTGAAAAACACTTTCCTGAATGCCATTACTTCTCATGCCCACAAAGCTTTCATATCTGTCTCCTACTCCTGTTAAGGGGTTTCTCCTGTTCCTAGTTTCTAGCTTGCAAAAGTATGCCAACAAATCTGGCAACCTGGTATTTGTTACTAAAACAGCATGTGTTTTCAGGTTTCTTTTCTATTGTACCTAAACCAGTCTAAATTAAAATTCAGTAGAACACCAGGAGTATGATTCTGTTTCTGAAAGGTGAGTAGTGTCTTTGGGCCCTATTTTTTTTTTAAGTTTTCTTCCTTTTTTACTTAATAGTGGTTATGAATTGCAGGGTACTTTGAAGGCTTTCACCTGAACCAAGAGTAAGGACTGGGTTAATTATATGACAGATAGTGAATTTAGCCTTAGGGTATTTATTTTTTATTATTATTAGATAACACAATTTTGTTTACCACTAGCTCTTCTTCTCAGCATTCATATGTTAACTCAGCTCTTTTGTGTTAATAAGTTTATGGTAAGACTGTGAAAGTAAAATAATTTATCTGCTTGGGGTGGGGGAAAGGAACTTGAAMAAGGATTTAAGCATTGTGAATTAATCTGTACAAACAGAAAGCAGACCAGCAGGACAGGAACTCTTTTACAGTGCTGCCTGATAGTGTCCAGAAAAATCCCAGTAATCATGTAGGCTCCATGTTATTTTTGCCTGGAGCAAAATGATGTATCTTCTGTATTTAGCTTTTAAAATTAGTGAAACA